ACCATTCTACTTTCTGTCTCTATGAATTTGCCTATTATAGGTACCTCTTATCATTGGGATCATATAATATTTGTCCTTTTGTGCTTGGCTTATTTCACTTATCGTAATGTTTTCAAGGTTCATCCCTGTTGTAGCATGTACTAGAATTTCATTTCTTTCAAAATATGCCTGTATAATATTCTATTGTATGTATATACCACATTCCATGTATCATTCATCTGTTGATGGGCATTTGAGTTGTTTCTACTTTTTGGCTATTTTGAATAATCCTATTATGAACATTAGCATACAAATATCTGTTTGAGTCCCTACTTTCAATTCTTTTGTGTATATACCTAGGAATAGGATTACTAGATCATACGGCAATTATTTTTAATTTTTTGTTTTGAGACAGGGTCTCTCTCACTCTGTTGCCCAGGGTGGAGCACGGTGACATGATCACAGCTCACTGCAACCTCAAACTTCTGGGCTCAAGGGATCCTTCTGCCTCAGCCTCCTGAGTAGTTGGGTGAGACTACAGGTATGTGCCACCACACCCAGCTAATTTTTAAATTTTTTTCTGTAGAGATGGGGTCTTACTATGTTGCCCAGGCTGGTCATTGTACTCTTGGCCTCAAGTGATCATCCTGCTTAAGCTTCCCAAAGCACTGGGATTACAGGCATGAGCTCACAATAATTCTATGTTTAACATTTTGTGGAACTACCAAATTGCTTTCCACAGTGGCCACACCATTTCACATTCCCATCAGCAGTACAACAGGGTTCTAATTTCTCCACATCTTCACTATCACTTGTTTTTGTGTTTTGTTTTGTTTTTTGATGATAGCCCTTCTAGTAGGTGTTAAGTGGTATGTCATTGTGGCTTTGATTTGCATTTCCCTAATGACTAATCATGGTGAGTTTCTTTCCATGTGCTTTTAGGCCATTAGTATATTACTGGAGTAATGTCTACTCAGATCCTTTTCCTATTTCTGAATTGGGTTGTGTGGAGTTTTTTGTTGTTGTTGAGTTGTAGGGGTTCTTTATGTAGTCTAGATATTAATGCATTATCAGATACATGATGTGAAAATATTTCTCCCATTTGCTGGGCTGTCTTTTCACTCTTTTGATAGTGCCCTTTGATGCATAACAGTTTTTAATTTTGATAAAGTCCAATTTATCTATTTTTCTCCTGTTGCCTGTGCTTTTGGTGTGTCATACCCAAGGAGTTTTCTTCTAAGAGTTTTATAGTTTTAGCTTTTACATGTAGGTCTCCAATCAATTTCAAGTTAATTTTTATATATGATATAATGTAAGGCTCCAATTTCATTCATTTACACATGGATGTGCAGCTTTCCCAGCATCATTTGTTGAAAAGACTGTTCTTTCCTCCTTTCCCCATTGAATGGCCTTGACATCCTTGTCAAAAATCAATTGACCATATATGTAAGAGTTTATATCTTGGCTGTCTATTCTATTTCATTGGTCTACATGTTTGTCCTTAGGCTATGTATTAGGCTGTTCTTGCACTGCTATAAATATCTGAGACTGCGTAATTTATAAAGAAAAGAGGTTTAATTGGCTCACAGTTCTGCAGGCTGTACAGGAAGCATGGTGTTGGCATCTGCTCAGCTTCTGGGGAGGCCTCAGGGAGCTTTTACTCATAGTGGAAGGCAACATGAGAGCAGGCATCTCACATGGCGACAACCAAATAGAGAGAGTGGGATGGGGGAGTTGCCACACACTTTTAGATGACCAGATCTCGTGTGAACTCAGAGCTATAGCTCACTTAACACAAAGGGGATGGCCCAGGGCATTCATGAGGGAACCTCCCCCTATGACCCAAACACCTCCCACTAGGACCCACCTCCAATATTGGGGATTACATTTCAACATGAGATTTGGGTGGGGACAAATATCCAAACCATATCATGCGATCACGCTGGTGCTTTTTTTGTTGTTTGTTTGTGTGTGTGTGTGTGTGTGTTTTTTTTAATAAAAGATTGTAATGTTTTGCCATTATCCTATCATTACATAATTCTAAAATTAAAAAGAAACATATCCTTATCATTGCCTGTTTCTGTCAAGCTCAATAAATGTCCTTAACGGTTTATAGTATTATAAAATTACTGTATCAAAAATTCTTAAACATTTGTCAAAGTCCTCTTACTCCTCCTTTGCATTCACTGCTAGTAGGCATTGCCCTGGACTTTACTCTGATTGAGTAAAAGCCAAAGTCCTTCTAATGAAATGGTCAAGGTCCTGCGTATCCTGGCCATTCACTGCCCACCAACCTGACTGGCCGCATTTCCTGATTCTCATTCTTGTTTCCTTATTGTTCCTCCAATGTACCAACCACAGTCCTCCTGCCCATAACCACCATGTCTAAATAACAACCTTGACAGAGCAGGGGCATCACCATCTTGGACAAGCACTGCTATTTTAAAGTTCTCCTTGATCAAAAACCACCTAAATCCAAACGGCATCAGCCTAATGGCTAAGGTCAGCATGACCATAAACCACAAATGGCATCTCCGACCAGAAACATTCCAATCCTAAGATAAACCCCTCCCTGACCTGAGACATGCCAGTCTCGAGATAACCTCCCCTCCGACAAAGACATTCCAACTCCGCCATAAACTTCTCCTCCATGCCGGTGATAAGCTCTCTCACTCTAAAACCTTTAAATACTCTTAGTCTGTAAGAGAGTGCTCCTGACCAAAATCGGCCAGAAGCCCCTCTTAGGTTTATTCTCCCAAATAACCCCATCTGACTGTTGAGCTGCTATTTGTGTTTCTTTCCTTTTTCTTTAACTGTTACAAACCCCTTCGACCATCTCCCATAGCTCCGTGCTCAGCCTCCTAAGTAGCTGGCACTACGGACATGTACTATCTTGCCTGGCTAATTTTTTATTTTTTGAAGAGTTGGGGGGCAGTTCTCACTTTGTTGCCCAGTCTCGTCTTGAACTCCTGGGCTTAAGCAATCCTACCGCCTCGGCCTCCCAAAGTGCTGGGGTTGCAGGAATGAGCTACCACGCCTGACCCTTAGTTCTTTATGGCATTTGACAGTGGCTGACACCCTATGTATGTATTTATCTAATTTTTGTCTGTTCTCCAAACACTACTGGAATGTAAACTTTATAAGGGCAATGACTCAGCAATGAAGAATGAATAGGAAAAAATATAGTGAGTTCTTCATTCATTCAAATTACTATTTATTGAGAACTTACTGTAGACTAGACACAGAAAACACAGTGGACATTAAACATATAGAACTTGTTAGTTATGTTTTGTTCAACAGTTGTACAAATCTAAAATTAACAATTAAATATGTGTGTGTGTGTGTTTTTAAGGAGTGGGTAGGTAGGAAGTCTCACAGATGGCAAGTCCAGAGCACAAGCCTCGAAGGAAAATCAAGGTGTCAAAGGCAGAGCACACTGCCCCTCAGCTATTGCTCAATGCACCAGGGTGGAGAGCTGCTGCCAGCCTATTAGATCCTCTCTGCAGGGAATTCGGAATGTGGATTGATCCAAGCTAGTCATTCCCTACTGATCTTTCAAACAGGGGTGAGGGGGGTAAACGCCCCCATGGGGAGCAATTTCTTTAGCTTGCACAAACCTTGTGTTCATTACCAGTGTCCGGGACAGTCTTCAGGTGTGGCTGGGGACTGTGATCTTCTTGTAGGGCCTCCTTAGGGACTGTGCAACCACAAAGGCAGAAGCAGCTCTTGCAGAGTGTGATGACGTTCACAACCTATATTTGACTTGTACTATATTCTCATCACTACAGGGGAAGAGCCCAGTGGGAAATATGTGCTGTTCTAAATATAGCACCTGCCTCCTATACCTGCTAGATTTAGGTTGAATCTTTCACTGCCTGTGAAGGACTTTAGCAGGCCTCGGTGACCAGAAAGATCTATCCACACTTTCAAGCACAGGAAGGACGGTATTGGAAGGCCTTGGGGTCAGCCCAGGGCTTAAAGTCAGTTCCACTAGAATGCCATTTTCAGAGAGTTTTCATCCCTAACTCTCCGAGGGTGGCAGGCTCTTGCATCAGCCCTGGGACATGTGTCCTCTAGCAGTCGGGTAGTTAGGCAGGCACCTGTATATCAATTTGTTGTTTTTCTTCTCAGTTTTCCGGTTTGTAAGACTACCCCGAGCTCTTCAATGTGTTGCTTTTGTTTACATTAAGTGTATGAGGTGGGATGGGCTTCGTAGGCTGGTGGTGGGTTATTACAGCTTCCCAGGAAGGGGAGAAGCCCAATTCCTGCCAGCACGTGGTGGGCGCAGGCGCTTATACTTAGGAATAAATGAATGCATAAGTGAGTGAATGAATATGTCAGTGGACACGAAGCTTTCAAGCTGGGTGCAGGGAGGTGGGGATGTGACGAGCCATCGAGGCTACCCTGCGGCCCTGGCCCCCGGGCTATCCCGCGACACGCGTCCACGCCGACCAGCGGAGGGGGTCCGGCCAGTGGGCGGCGGGGCGAGCTAGCCACGAGGGCGCGCCCGCGGGGTTGGGGCTAAGATGACGCCCCGGGAGCAGCTGAGCAGCGAGGACGCGCCGCGGGGAGGGGCGGGGCCACGGAGCGCGCCGAGCGGAAGGGGCGGGGAGAGGGCGGGCCCGGCGCGCGGTAGCGCGGGCCCCTCAGTGCACAATGGCCAGAGCCGGCGGCGGAGCCCGAGCCCCACCCAGTGCGGAGCGCGCCGCGAGCCCCGTCGCACGCTGAGCGCCTCCGCCCGCCAAGCGCGCCGGCGCCGGGCCATGTACTCGGGGAACCGCAGCGGCGGCCAGGGCTACTGGGACGGCGGCGGGGCCGCGGGCGCTGAGGGGCCGGCGCCGGCGGGGACGCTGAGCCCCGCGCCGCTCTTCAGCCCCGGCACCTACGAGCGCCTGGCGCTGCTGCTGGGCTCCATTGGGCTGCTGGGCGTCGGCAACAACCTGCTGGTGCTCGTCCTCTACTACAAGTTCCAGCGGCTCCGCACTCCCACTCACCTCCTCCTGGTCAACATCAGCCTCAGTGACCTGCTGGTGTCCCTCTTCGGGGTCACCTTTACCTTCGTGTCCTGCCTGAGGAACGGCTGGGTGTGGGACACCGTGGGCTGCGTGTGGGACGGGTTTAGCGGCAGCCTCTTCGGTGAGTTGGACTGGGAGGAGAAGGCAGCCTCCCCTCTGCAAACTTCCACTCCCCGCCCCGCCGCCCGCTCCGTGCGTCCGCCTGCCCCCAGCCCGCCCCGCACGGCTTCCCGCTCGGCCCGGCGCCCCCCGTCCGACCCGGCCCCGCTCCCCGCTTGCCTCCTGACGCTGCTCGACCCCAGCCGCATGTCCGGTGCCTTCCTCTTCCTCCGCCCCCTCCCGCCCCACGCTGTCCACGACTCCATTCCTGTGGTCTCATCTGCTCATCATTGACCCCAGACCCCAACCCGTCTCCTTTCTTGTCATCTGTTTTTACCTCCTAAGATCACTCAACAAGGCACGAAACCACGGCTTTTTTACACTTTGAGGAATGAGACGAGGGCCTGTAGAGTTAAGAGATTCAAGAAAAAAAAGTGATTAACTCGTTAAAGTTGGAGGGGGTGATGAGATTAGATTCATATACTACTATTTGTTTTCTAAAATGAGATTGGAAAACTAAAATAGCAATGTGTAAAAAAAAATTTCTCATTAGTACTTGTAAACCTTTGAATGCTTTCTAGGGAGAGGGACAGTTTCATTCAGGTCCTCAGAAGGCAAATTGGCATGTGCCCTATAAGCTATTTTTACTATTTTCCTTCTTATAGATGGGTTCCAGCGCACCACAATCTCGGGTGAGATTACAAATGGTTCAGCCAGTACCATCTCAGGTGAACAAATACTGTAATTAGCTCTGCAGTCGGTAGATTTCATTAAAGTAGAACTTGATTGTTGAAGATTTATTTCGACAATACTCTTCTTATGGAAGATTTAAGTTTCACTGAGACATGATGTTTTGAAGGATGATCAACAACTCAGCAAATCATTGAAGAAAGCGTAGGAAAGAAATTATTTTTTGCATGCCTCAGGAATTTCATTTGTAGGGAGATTTGAAATAGAAATGTGTATTTCTCAAGGCTTAAAGTTCCTTTTTTAAATCCGGAAATCCATTGATACTTTATTGCTTTTATATTGGTAGGTTTGGAAGAACAAAATCTTCGTAGAATTATCAAAAGTATTTTCTTATTCAGTAACCTCTATGCTATGACAAACCCAAATATTATATTTGTAATGATTCATTTTTTGGAGTTTTGAAGGAAATAGAAAATGTAGATTTATTTGATTGCTTCAGAGGTTATATTTTCCTCCCTGCCCCTCATAAGCTTTAATCTGATAATTTCATTTGAACAAACATTTGAAATTTAGGGAAGGGGACTGTAAGTGTATGTAGGTTGTGATATGGATGGCTATGGGATTACACTCCTTATATTAATTTAAAAATACCTATCAGGCAATTTATTTGGCAATGCTAAGAAGGTTATTCAAGCCCAAGCCTAAAGTATCATCAGTAGTGTTCTCCGGGGTAGTCAACAGGTGTTTGTTCAGACATCAAAGTTCTTTTTTCCTCGAAGTGCCTTTTCTGTGCTGGAAAATTCTATTTTCGTTCCCGGGAGTTTGAACACAAGGGTGTACTGAGTTCTTTATAAGTGCTAGCTGTCATCCACCCTCTTCCTCACCTCTTTCCTCTGCTGACCCCACCCTCGTGTGTCTCCTAGTCACTTCTCCCTTCCTGTTTTTCTTCTTCACCATCCCTCTTAGGGTCCCAACCCAGTGATTTTCTAAGTTCACCTAGGTTTTTGCCTAAGTGCTGCCCTGTTTTTCAGGGCATTTAGTGCTTTCAACCATGACTTTCTCCCTGTTTTTAATGTAGAGGTGGAAACCCTGGGATAAGAGATTCAGAGACTTTTTTAAGCCTTGGGGGGCAAGTTAGTAGTGAAGTTGGTACAGAGTTTAAAAAGTTTTTAGCAAAGACAATTCCTTTGCCTGGAGTGAATTCCAGAGTTTGTGCTTCTAGATCCAGGTTAAGGATGAAGAAAAGGAGGGCACTTCCTGCATAGTTATCCCTGAGCTAGAACTACCTAACAGTGGAGTATTGAAGGGGAGGACATTTAAAAATGAGGGAAGTAGTTTCTTGATGCAGAGGCTTTTGGAGAGGCTTGCCCTATCTGTTGGAAAGACCATTGGCCTGATGGCACAAGAGTGGGTCCTGTTCCTGATCATGCGGCTCATGTATTGTGTGGGCTTTCCCAAGTCACTTAATCTCTCCAGCCATCAGTTCTCTCATCTCTGTTATTGGGTAGTTCAGCTTAATGCTCTGTAAGGTCATCCTACTTGCTTTGCATTTTGATGACTTCTTTGATATCTGTAGGTTAGAGCGTGTCTGATGTTAGGGCTTATTGACTGTGTCTTCTGCTCTTACTCCTACCCTGAGCCCTATCTTTCTAAGCCAAGAAGCAGCATATACTATGGTTACACCTCTTCAGATACCATCATAGATTCAGTCTCCCTCTTCACACCCTGCTGGAAGAAGCAGAATAAGTAATTCAGACATACTTAAATTTATACTTGAGTGGGCCAGGCAACTGTTTCATTCTGTACTTAGTTCCTGGCTTCTTAGGGAATGCCAAAAATGAGTGGAATCCCTGATATTTTTGAGACAGAGGCTTTGACTAGACAGGACTGTTAGGATTGCCGTTTTAGTTAAACTAAAGGTCTGTGCCCTACGCAATTTAAGTTCCAATTGAATGGCCTGTTTTACCAATATCCAGGATTATTAGTCATCTTGGCCTAGACAGGTCTAGCTTGTACTGATTTATATTTCAGTAGGTTTAACAGTAGCGAAAACCAGAGCTCAAACCAGTGCAGTGATGAATGTTATAAAGTTTAGCAGTAAGGTGTATGTAATACTTTAGCCTAAAGACTTTCCGGTGAGTATGCTCTTCAGTACCTTGGCCGTTCTGCCTCTGGCCACACGTGGCATCACACAGATGCCTTCTGCACATGGAGTGTAACCAGCATTATGCTCAAAGTTAACAGGAGAGCCTTTTTTTTTTCTTTACTTACCCTTCAAAAATAAGAACAAACAACATTAGTCTTGGCAGAGGATGTTTACATAGACCTTTTGCTTGGGATAGAGATTCAGGGTTGCAGAGACAAGCCTTATTTAGACAAGCCAAAATAAGTAGGCATTATTTATGTTAAGATATTTTAATATGAAACCAGGAGTTTTCCTTTTTTACTTACATACTTTTTTTCCTTTTTTACTTACATACTTTTTTTCCTTTTTTACTTACACTTATATACATGTGTACATTCATATACATATTTTTAATATATAGGTTTTCCTCCTCAGGCCTATTCTGTTATGAGCCTAAATATTTTTAAATGGCCAGTTGTTTTACTGAATTAATCCTTTTATTATAATCTTACTAGTAATTGAGTAGAAACAGTCTCATGTTGCTATCATGAGATCCTAAGGTGGTTGTGGCATGAAAAGGTCTTATATTCAGCTATTCGGGAATCACACACAGACTGTAATGGCCACAGAAATATTTTTAATCATGGCAGTATGTACCTAATGTATAATCTGTTTCTATAAACAATGGAGCCATACGTTCCTTTTAGTCTAAGCTCACAGCTGTGTATAGATTTATTCACATGATAGTTTTCTTAAAAGCTAAAGTTAGAGAATTGTATTATGTTATTTCTTCTTTATTTTTGTGGAACATTATGTTCATTCTCTATTACTATGTTGCCTCATTCTTGGGAGGGCTGTTATATCTCTATTGTCTATTTTCAAGAAATTAGAAAATATGTGAGAAAGCATTTAAGACATGCTTTAGTGGAGGTTTATGTCCAAATAAGAAGTCATACTCCAATGGATTGTCATTGTTGCATGAAATTATTTTTCTCTTATATTGTTTACAATGTATTTTTTCTTGAATTTTCTTCTTTCAGAGAAGAGTTCCAGTCACAAATGCATATATGATGCATTTTGACATTTACTGCTAAGATGAAATACAGAAATGAAACCACACATCCATTTTAGTATTCTCAGATGTGATTAGATGTACTTGCTCATGTTTTTATGCTACTGACTTATAAGGAAAAAAATATATTTTAAAAGGGTAACTGTTAAAACAGCTAGGACCTGCAACTTCATTGCTTCTGGGATAAACTGGAACATCAGAAGGACAGATTTTATTACAGCATAATCACACCTCATTTCTTTCATCAGCAACTGTCACCAGACACTTTTACTTCCTAGAATGGCGGACAGTCTTCCCACAGAGTTTGATGTGGTTATAATAGGGACAGGTTTGCCCGAATCCATCCTTGCAGCTGCATGTTCAAGAATTGGTCAGAGGGTTCTGCATATTGATTCAAGAAGTTACTATGGAGGCAACTGGGCTAGTTTCAGCTTTTCAGGATTGCTAACCTGGTTGAAGGAGCATCAGCAAAACAATGACATTGGGGAAGAAAGTACTGTTGAATGGCAGGACCTGATCCATGAAACAGAAGAAGCCATCTCTCTTCGCAAGAAGGATGAAACTATCCAACACACAGAAGCTTTTTGTTATGCCAGTCAGGATATGGAGGACAATGTTGAAGAGGTTGGTGCTCTGCAGAAAAATCCTTCTTCAGGGGTGTCTAGTACCTTCACTGAAGTTCTGGATTCCGCAGGCTTGCCTGAAGACAGCCAGTCATCAAATTTTAATAGCGATGAAATGTCTGCCAAACACACTCAGAAAAGTGATAGAGAGATTTCACTAGAAGTAACTGATGTAGAGGAATCAGTGGAGAAGGAAAAGTATTGTGGAGATAAAACTTGTATGCACACAGTTTCAGATAAAGATGGAAATAAAGATGAAAGCAAATCTACAGTAGAAGATAATGCCAATCAACCAATTAGAAATAGGATTACTTACCTTCAAATAGTTAAAGAAGGGAGGAGGTTTAATATTGATTTGGTATCAAAACTGCTATATTCTCAAGGATTGCTAATTGATCTTTTAATCAAATCAGATGTTAGTCGTTATGTAGAATTCAAAAATGTCACTAGGATTCTTGCATTTCGGGAAGGAAAGGTAGAACAAGTGCCTTGTTCCAGAGCAGATGTCTTTAATAGCAAGGAACTCACCATGGTTGAAAAGAGGATGCTAATGAAATTTCTCACATTTTGTTTAGAGTATGAACAACATCCTGATGAATACCAAGCTTTCAGGCAGTGTTCATTTTCAGAATACTTAAAAACTAAAAAACTAACTCCCAACCTTCAACATTTTGTACTGCACTCAATTGCAATGACATCAGAATCATCTTGCACTACAATAGATGGCCTTAACGCAATTAAAAACTTCCTTCAGTGTCTCGGACGGTTTGGCAACACTCCCTTTTTATTTCCCTTGTATGGCCAAGGAGAAATTCCCCAATGTTTCTGTAGGATGTGCGCAGTTTTTGGTGGAATCTATTGTCTTCGTCATAAAGTACAATGCTTTGTAGTCGACAAAGAATCTGGACGATGTAAAGCAATTATAGATCACTTTGGTCAAAGAATAAATGCTAAATATTTTATTGTGGAAGACAGTTACCTTTCTGAGGAAACATGCTCAAATGTGCAGTATAAGCAGATCTCTAGGGCAGTACTCATTACAGATCAGTCTATACTAAAGACAGATTCAGATCAGCAGACTTCCATTCTGATAGTTCCTCCAGCAGAGCCAGGAGCTTGTGCTGTACGGGTCACTGAATTATGTTCTTCAACCATGACATGCATGAAGGACACCTATCTGGTACATTTGACATGTTCATCTTCTAAAACAGCAAGAGAAGACTTAGAATCAGTGGTGAAGAAATTATTCACTCCATATACTGAAACAGAAATAAACAAGGAAGAACTTACAAAGCCAAGACTCTTGTGGGCTCTTTATTTTAATATGAGAGATTCCTCGGGAATCAGCAGAAGCTCATATAATGGCTTGCCTTCCAATGTTTATGTCTGCTCTGGGCCTGACTGTGGCCTGGGAAATGAGCATGCCGTCAAGCAAGCTGAAACACTTTTCCAGGAGATCTTTCCAACTGAAGAATTCTGCCCTCCACCTCCAAATCCAGAAGACATTATCTTTGATGGCGATGATAAGCAGCCAGAGTCTTCTGGAACCAATAATGTAATAGTGGCCACACTAGAGTCCTCTGAGGAAGGCAAAAACCAAGAAAGCCCAGAGAAGCACCTTCAAAATTAGAAAAGAGCAATCTGGAAATGCTGTTTTGGACCTCCTTCATGGCATCAGAATATTCTCATTTAAAGGACAGTTTCCCATATGAGTAATTAGAAGTGGTTATATATGTTGAATGCTATGCAGATGTTGTCTTTAACTCTCAGACATTCAGCATTGAATATCTTTGTTAACCTATCAATGAGTGATTTATTGATTATTGAACATTTTGTTTAGAATGGGCTACATGACCCATAATCTTAAAACAGAGTTAGCTGTATTTTAGTATTGGGTATGTATGTAAGGGTTCCATATTAACAACTCAGCTTAAAGGTAATGTTGTATTTGCTAATGATCTTCAGATTTTATCTTTGTCTACAGAACAATTAGTAATACCCAAGTAATATTTTAATTACTTTCACAGCTATTATAGTTGCTGCGGCCTGTTCGAATAGTGAAACACACACAAATGGTAAATTATGTGGATCTTTTGCATATAATATAAATGTATAGACATGGTGGTAGGAATAGCAACTAATACAAATGCCAATATGATAATAAAATACGTTTGTCTATAATCGTTAAAAGATTAGCTTTGCATGATGCTTTATTCATTGTGAAGGTCTGAAGTTTATAATACCCACTTCACTCTTGTAACTGATGAGGCAATGACGCCACCACAGTGTTCTAATTTACAAAAAGAATTGGAGTTCAATTAGTAGTTGAAAAACTCATTTTGGGGAGGTTGATTGCAAAGAAAATTTGAAGGATAAGATTTATTCTCATTTAATACTTCAGAAAATTTCTGCAGAGCCCTGCTTTGGCACTTAAAGAGCTTCCAACAAGTAACTTAGACCAAAAGGAAAAATGAAGTGCCCCAGGAGAAGATACTTCATAAGGGCTGTTCTGAAATTCCTAAGGAGAAACAGAGTGAAGCCTTTTTAACCTGGGATTACAGATAGTTATAAAACCCTCTATAAATAGATTACCCAAGGTTTTTCAGTGAGAATGAAACCTACCACCTTGTTGGCTCTACCACTTTAATTAATATTACTAACATAACTGATAGGAATGAATCAAAGGAAGATTTACCATGCCCTTTTGGTTGTGTCCCACTTCACAAATTGTGAAGCAACAACCTTCTGTAATCTCTCTTGCCTCTTAGCTGTTATCTAGAGTATAGAAACTTTTTTTCTCCCAGAACCACCCAACATCATAAAACTGGTAGTACTCTAATGGTAAAAACCTGTGGAGCTGTCAGAAAACATGAACTTGCTTTTCGTCTAGTCCAGTTTCCATTCCTCAGGCAGAGAATGATGATCTTGTGACAGTTTTTGCTCTGAAACAGCATTTATCATGTGCTTGGTACTTAGTATTACGCTTTCTCATGACAGTTTCTCAGCAATCCTGTGAGGCAGATTTGCATATACCTTCTGTATTAGTCTGTTCTCATGCTGCTGATGAAGACATACCTGAGATGGTAATTTATAAAGAAAAAGGTTTAATGGACTCACAGTTCCATGTGGCTGGGGAGACCTCACAATCATGGTGGAAGGTGAAAGGCATGTCTTATATGGCAGTGGACAAGAGAGAATGAGAACTAAATGAAAAGGGAAACCCCTTTTAAAACCATCAGATACCGTGAGACTTATTTACTACCATGAGAACAGTATGGGGGAAACAACCCCATGATTCAGTTATCTCCCACAAGGTTCCTCCCACAATACGTGGGAATTATAGGAGCTGCAATTCAAGATGAGATTTGAGTGAGGACACAGCCAAACCATATCACCTTCAAAGAAGAAATAGAGAATTATTAGTAATTTGCTCAGAATCTGGTATGTGGAAGAGCCAACATGGGGACCCAGTCTTTTGTGATTCTAAAACCTTTGATCTTTCTACTAACATTCACTGTTAGAAGAGTGTAGGCACTACAGGAGAAAGAAAAAGTGCCCACGAAAATTAGTCGAGCATTCCCGGGGTGGAAAAGCACACACTGGTCCTGCAGCTTATTGAATCGGAGAAATGTGAAGATTAAGATGAACTAAACAAATGTATTTTAGAGCATGGATCTCATTGAAGCAGAATTTGGCTAAGGTTTAAGAAAATGTTCTTCAGTAACACATCTCTTGATCTGAAGATCGTGTTATAAAAAATATTACCAGGCCAAAATTTGTTCGGAATACACTCATTTTTTGCTCCTCTATATGTGAAGAAAATGAGACCAGACAGATTTAAGTAATTGACAACTTACTTAAAGTAGCAAAGTCATGGATTGTATTGACTTTTAAAATATAGTAAAGTCATATTTAAATTTTATCCTAAAGTTTAAATCTATCAAAACAACTGAAATACTTGAAATAGACCTATAAAATAGTAATTAAAATGAGAAATACATAAGATGATAAATAAAATGACGGTGAAGGTATTCCAGATCTACCGAAAAGATTTTCAGTATCACAAATTATTCATAAGAAATCAAGGAAAGGAACAATGAGAAGTTGCGAAAGATGGTATAGCTGAATATAATAGAAATAGGAAAAATTAGTCCAAAATAAAGGTTGATTTAAAAATGAAGAAAATGAATATACTTCTTACTGAATACAAAATAAATGGGAAATGAGAAGTTATACCAATAAAAACATTTAAAAATTTAGGGGATATCACAACTCAGTATAATTTTCTGACAGGTTGGATTTTGACCCTAATGGACTTGCTGGTGAACTTTTTTTTTTTTTTTTTTGAGACGGAGTCTTGCTGTGTCCCCCAGGCTGGAGTGCAGTGGCCGGATCTCAGCTCACTGCAAGCTCCGTCTCCCGGGTTTATGCCATTCTCCTGCCTCAGCCTCCGGAGTAGCTGGGACTACAGGCACCTGCCACCTCGCCTGGCTAGTTTTTTGTATTTTTTAGTAGAGACGGGGTTTCACCGGGTTAGGCAGGATGGTCTCGATCTCCTGACCTCGTGATCCGCCCGTCTCGGCCTCCCAAAGTGCTGGGATTACAGGCTTGAGCCACCGCGCCTGGCCTGCTGGTGAACTTTTAAAAATGTTTAAATAATGTCTATCCATCTATCATGAAAGACAATATGCTTCAGATTGTCTTTTGAGGCAAATATGTTCTGAATACTAAAAGACATTTTTAGAAGGATTTTATTCTCAACATGCAAAATGCAGAATGAAATATTGGCAAACAATAGAGCAAATAATTTACTATCACTCAGGATTATAAGGCTGGTGTTCAGCAGAACAGCCATTAAATCAGCATCAACAGAACACATGGTAAAAATCCAAAGTATTAACTACAGATAACTTTTCAAAAATTGATCATTCACCCTTGATTCAATTATTTCTGGCAATGATTTCATAGACTTCTTGGAGTCTGTTAAGTACTTAAACCAAGAACTACTACTATTCCTACTGGGAAAACAAACATTCCTCAGGTGGAATGTAAACAGTGTTGGCACCATTTTTATATATGTTTAAAGAAACCTGTCATTGCAGTAAAAGCCAGCATTCACAAAATAAGGAAGATAAGGAAGGAAAGTAGCGTAAATATTTTCTATTAACATGGCTTTACAACTGCTTAAACTTATAGAAATATACTCACAATAAAAGACTAATTCAAGAAGTTGCAGGATATAAAATTTTTTAAAATATCATTTCTACATCTCAACAGTGACAAACTGCAACTTAAAAAGTGTTTGGTTATTAATATATATGAGACTTTTAAAGAAAGTTATATAACTACATTGAGATAAATTAAGAAAGATACCTAAATAGAAGCAAGTTTAAGGAGCTATATTTTTAAAAATGAGCAAACTCCCATGGGAGCCATGCTGGTGTAATGGAAAAGTAGTACATGGGGAGATGGGGAGTTTTTTGAAAACCAGAATTACAGTTCTCATTTCACTACTTAGCAGTTGTATACTCTTGGGAAAGTCACTCTTAGTATCTATTTCACCATCTACAGAATAGAAATACTTCACAGAATTATTGTGAGGATTAAGTTAGATAGTGTGTATTAAAATATAAAGCTACATCCAAAGGAATGCCAATATGTGACATTAGTATGAAATTTACTACAGTTCATTTAACATTCCAACTGGTTGCTGTGTGTAATGTGGCATAATTGTAATAAATTATTTAGGAAAGCAAGCAAAGATGTAAGTTTTTTTAATTTAGGGGGAAAAAATGGGAGTCTTGCCTCCAAATCCTTAATACATGCTATTAAGCAACCTTTCTGAATATTCTGTGGTGCCAAGAATAAAGTTTAACTAAAACTAATAAACCAATGGAAAGAAAGAAATATTAATAACTGCTGGTGAAAAGACTAGCTAGATGCCAGTGTGGAAAGATTAGATCCACTTTACATATGATATTCCAAATAAATTAAATGTTAAGTATAAAAAGAAAAATAAAGACTATGAGTCTCACACCAATAGTGGTACAAAGGAACTTCATGGCAATTGATAAGGTAGATGAACTAAGAGAAAAAATTTTAAATGTGTAGTAAATAGGAAAAAGACAAAACAAGATGAAATTTAAAAGAAGCTATTTGCATTACACATGGGTGCACTCAGTTTTTGTAAAACTATATACATATCCATAAGGGTTTGTACTTTTAGGCACATTTATAAAGAGATCATGTATACATGATACAAAAAATTCTTTGAATGGTATTCAAATTTCTTAATATTAAAAATGCAACTTTGACTTAGTTCATGCTATTGTATTAGCAAAATTGTTTTAATTGCATGTGTCCTCATAGCAGCAGCATTGTATATTAGTAGCCTTTTAAGAGAACTATGTAGAAGACTATAATATAAAAAGGGCTTTATAACCGATCTATCTTTTGACATACTCACTTTGAGTGGCATATGCCTGGGAAAATATTTAAAAGAAAGAAAAGCTATTTGTACAAAGGTTTCTAGCAATTCCAGTCAGATAACCGTTTTTTTTTGTTTGTTTGTTTTGAGACAGAGTCTTGCTCTCTCACCCTGGCAAGAGTGCAGTGGCGTGATCTCGGCTCACTGCAAGATCTGCCTTCCGGTTTCACACCATTCTCCTGCCTCAGCCTCCCGAGTAGCTGGGACTACAGGTGCCACCACCTCGCCTGGCTAATTTTTTGTATTTTTAGTAGAGACGGGGTTTCACCGTGTTGGCCAGGATGGTCTCGATCTCCTGACCTTGTGATCCTCCCGCCTCTGCCTCCCAAAGTGCTGGGATTACAGGCGTGAGCCACCGCGCCCGGCCTCACTCAGATAACTTTAAGGGGGAAAAAGCCCAACAACTGGGAAATGGTTAAGTAAATTTGGGTGTATTGCTAGTGCTATCACAGAATGTTATATAGCCATTAAATAATATTGATATATGTAAAATTGTATGCAAAAAAGTGTGAGATTCAAAAATGTTAATAAGAACATAAATTATGTTTACTGATATGTGTGAAAATTTAGGTCTACATTGAAAAGAACCAGAAGATAACATGTAACTCACTTCAGTTTAACATTAGGGATTCTTTATTTTTCTTCTGTTAAATATTGATGTATGCAATAAAAAATAAAAGATTAATTGGTAAAGTGGCTTACTGAACTGGTGAGAAAATTACTGATTTCTTAGAAGTTTCAGAAATTCTATTTTAAGTTAAAATATACATTTCTAGGTGTTAAAAAAGATCATCTTCAAATATGTGTGGCAGAAGGTTTTACAAATCTTGGTGGGAGGGAATTATTGGTCAAGATGGACTTCATAATTTATTTTTTCTTAGTTGATCACCATTGAGGAATAGTAATAGAAATATTAGTAATACATTCTAGGACACAGGCATGAAGACATCATATACTAATTAAAATATGCCCCTAAATGCAGACATGTCACTTGGGAATCTTAAAAGCCATGGATTCGTAGATGTGACCAAACCTTGTTTGCAGAGAGACCTGTGCGAAGGCCAGATCTCAGGGGACTGAGGATGTGACAGACCCTTTCTTCCAGTCAGCCTGAGAGATCCAAATCAAGGTGATTTAATTTAATAAACATCCATTGAACACCTACTGGGGGTTATGAATTGGCATTATTCTGGGAAATTAGAAATATAAAAATAAGTGCTCTGTACCTGACAAACATTCTGTTGGAATGTTTACCTTAAGGTAAGGTCATTTTACCTTAATGAGCATTTAAGACATTTTTTACCTATCTCACTCCCCACTGTAACTAGCACTTCCTGTTTCCTGGCAAAAGAAAAAACAAAACAAGTCTCTGCCTTGCGCATGGCATCCCTTTTAAAAGGTGCCAAAACTTACTACACAGTTGAAAACAGGTGGCTTAAAGGTTAAAAGCCGAATCATTTAACACTCTCCGAAATCTATTTCGGATGACATTCAGTGAGTTAAGTTTTTCAGATTAATCGGAAATTTTTTCTCTTTCCTGGAGAAGGAGCCAAGATGAACTCCAGGGGATTGAGTCCAGGAGCCCAGGACATCAAGGGCTTAGGGAGAGGAAGTGTAAAGAAATTAGATCATAAAGTTTCAATACCAAGAAATTCTGATTAAGATTAATTTTATTTGCCTTCATCTCGATGGATTAAGTGAAAGTCATGCTCCTATTGCATGGAGGTAGCTGCTTCCTCTGAAGATTTTCAGATTTTTATTTTAGTATTTTTACCTCCATTATAAAGAGGCATTTGTAGTGTAGTTCATTTCGTTTTAACCAACAACCAGATGTATTCACATTTCAACAGCAGGGGACACAGTACTTCAGCTTTCTGTAAGGCACAAACAGTACAGAAGCTGAGTGATTCACCTGAAAGAATTTGGCTGTAACAAAAATATGTGACCACAGTTCTGCTCCAGCATTTGTGGGTATGCTTTCTTCCTGACAACTACATTTTCTTATGTGATCCTCAGGACAACCGTGTAAGGTAAGAAAGGGCAGGTATTTGTACCAGTTTTTTTTGTAGATAAAACCTGGAGGAGTTAAGTGACTTACCTGGACTCTCCTACTTTGTATTTAGACCCATTAATGGGAAATGAAATGCTACTGTTTTGCTTTGCTTGCATCTCAAGAGTGATTTATTACATGTAAGAATATATAACACATAAAGCACTATTTAAAAAGCGGCGGCTTCTGGAACTTTAGAATAGATTGACTTTTCAACAGATAGCAAAATAATCCTATAAATTACAATTTGTATAACTATAATCAAATGGGCCAACTGTGATTGAGAGAGGAGAAGGGAGTTACTAAGTTCACTCCTGAAATCAGAAAAACAGTTTCTTTATTCTGATATGTCAAGAGCTTAAAATCTTTATATATAATACCTTCATTGGTCCCTGCTGATGTCCTATGATTCCTGGCATTTGCTTGTTGCTAAATATATATTTAATTCTAATACACTCTGGACAGCTATTTAATAATAAAGGCATACATATCAGAGGAGTGACTGGATTCAGAGGTGCAGGGTTGACAGAGTGTAGCAGGAAGATGAATACCTGATTATAATTCAGTCAGAATGAGATACATATGTAGGCATTTTATAGTTTTAAATAATCCTTCAGGATACTAGTACAGTGTGTTTTATGCCAGTTCTTTTTATTACACATCATATAATTAAAGCCCTTGAGTTCTCTATTTCTGCTCATTTGAGACTTCTACCTGTTGCTTATTCATCTCTGACATAAAAATAAGTATTACCCAGTATGGGGAAACTTTATTTTCTATCATTAAGTTAATTTTACTATATTTGTAAG